CGCTGGAGAAGCAGCTTAAGCTGGACCATACACCACAAGTTCTCACGCTCCATCTCAAGAGGTTCAAGAACAATGGGGTTTTTGCCTACAAGCTTCGCAATCCCGTGGAGTATCCATTGGAACTGGACCTGACTCCATGCCTTAGCTGCCCAGTAGATGAGGTTTGTGTTCCTTCAAATTTCTTGCTGATTGCACTTCAGAACAAAATCAACTTCTCATGATCTATACTCAACTTGTGCAGGTCCACTCAAAATATGATCTTTATGCAGTTTTGCTGCACATTGGTTCATTAGAATTTGGACATTATTTCTGCTGCATTCGTTCCTCTCCGAGTACATGGCATTGCATTAATGATTCGAAGGCAAATTCTGACAAAATTTCTTTCTTTCTTTTACTGAACTTCCATGGGAGGGAGGCATAATTATGGTGCTTACTTTTTGATGTTTATCTGCAGGTGTTTAGAGTCTCTGAAACTGATGTATTAGCCCAGGATGCCTATTTGCTCTTTTATGTAAAGCAACGATCGTCGTGCTGGTTTTCGAACTTAATGGACGAAATTAAGACACTAATGGCAACTGATAGTTCCCCATCATCTGTGCTGGGTCATGCACAAAGACATGATCGCTCATCTTTAGTTTACGAGGATGGTTGCAGTAGTTCTAGTGTCACCTCCGAAAGACATGAGGACGCTGATCCATGCAACGATTCTTCTCCTCCCGGCCCAGTCAACAATGATGCGTTCATCCGTGAAGGAGAAGGACGTCAGATAGAAACTCCCTTGGGAACATTCAAACTGAGGAACCATAAGAATAGTTGTGATGAGGATCTGTCTGGACCATCTTCTTGCACATCCTGCAGTCGAAGCTGAGAAAGCTGTCACGCTTATCGGCTTGCCATAACCAATGCAATCGATGGTCCATTTCTGACCCGCATCTGGACAACATGTTTGATATTGAACCGCTGGGTGAGGTTCCTTCATCTGAAGGATCGCACTCATCATCAAGCAGCTCGTTTTCATCTTATACCAATCTGCTTGGTTTCAGGATTTCGAAACATCGCTTTCTTCAGTGCTTATCTTTACATTCATATCTGTGAATCTTGCAGAAGATTACACGGAAAATGATTTTGTTGCACAAGTCCAAGTGGAATTCAAGAGCAGTAAAGAAGCAAAGGAACGTATCCTTAATGGTACGACAGACTGGGAAGGATGTCCAGATCAAGAGAACAACCACCTAACCCGAGAGTCTCGTGGCAGCAACATGAGTAAGGTTGGTTCGAATGCACATTCTTAGCGCAGCTGTAACATCAGAGGTCATCCCTCTTTCATCGATGGCTCATATTTGGGGTCCCGATATAAAGAGAGTGCCGAAGGATCCTACTACACCATCTTCTTGTTAGACATAGGGCACTTGTGTGGCAGGAGTCGAAGTCACTGTTCCTTTGGATTCCCCAGCCTGCAGAAACCTTTTTGTAATTAAAACATCGCTTTACTTTAGCTCCATAGGGACACACAATGTTTACGACCTCGATCTGGATTATAATGTTTGATCTGCAACTGTTTATGATGTGTCCAGTCTTGTCACCTACGTGGATTATGTTCAGCCAGCATGGCATAGTCCACGTGCTTTTCTACTACACGTGTAACTCGCGTCGATTCAACATCGTATCCAGGGCTGGCGCAGCCACAAACGTCCAGAATGCTCACAGGAAGATGAAGATGGCGTGACATTTTTGACAACGAGAAAAGAGTGTAACGGAAATACGTCCTGCCATCATCCTATCCAACCATGTCGTCACTTTCCGCGCCTCGAACGATTGTGAGTCGGTCTCGTGCCATCCGTTATGAGTCGGGCTCCCGGAGACATGCACGCCACTTCCTTTTCTCGCTCCAGCTCACACCATTACCAGTGGTCCACTCGCCGGCCCCTTTTGACCGTGGATTTCTATTGCTGCACCGGTCAAACGAGAGGCGAGGCAACTCAACCACCAGTCGGATGCGTCTTCGCAACCTCAGCTCAAAGGAAAGCACAGGTGAAGGCCGGGGAAAATCCAGCAAGGGGGAGGGCCGCTCGGGCACGTAAGCAAGCATCCCCCACCACCAATTCCACCGCTCTATGGTTCCGTCTCAATTACTTCTCTTCTCCACTTTCTCTCGCTCTCATCATTCATCATCTCTCCCTCCCTTCCTGGTATCATAGGAAGATCCAGTAGGAAATAAGGTCATAGGAAAGAAGGTCTTGCGAAGAGGAGGCACAAGTATGGATCAGTCGAGAAATAATCACTACCATCATCATCAACAGCAACAAAATCTGGGAGTCAACAGGCTGAGCAAGAACATCCGCAAGAGCCCTCTCCACCAGCCAAACTACTACTCCAACCAAAACCCACCGCAGCTGCAGCAGCAACAACCACCACCGCCACCGCCGCCGCAGGTGTACAACATCAGCAAGAACGACTTCCGCAGCATCGTGCAGCAGCTCACCGGCACCCCCTCCCGCGACAGCAGCCCCGCCGCCAATTCCAGGCCTCAGCATCGCCCGCCGCAGCCGAGGTCCCCCAGCACCCGCCTCCAGAAGATCCGCCCCCCGCCGCTCGCCCCCATCGCCCGGCCGCCTCACCCTCCTCTCCGCCCCGTCGCTGCCGCCGCCCAGCCTCCTCCCCGGTATCCGCCCCCTGTGCCTTACCGAAACCCTAACTCTAATTTGCTCCCGGTGCCGATTCCTCACCCCAATTCGAACCCTTCTTCCTCCTTCCCCCGTCCCTCGCCCTCCGCCGGCGCTGCCTGGGCTGAATCGCCCGTCTCCGCCTACATGCGCTATCTCGAGAGCTCCCTCCTCGGTTCCGACACGTCCCGCCACCCTCAGCCGCAGCCGCCGATGCCCCCCTTTCCGTCCCCAGGGTTGCTGCCCTCCCCGCGCCCGCTCGTCCTGCCATCCCCGAGAGGGATCACGAATTCCAGCTCGCTGCCCCTCCCTCCTACTCCATCAGCATCACCCTTGCCGCTGCCATCTCCAAGCGCATTCCTGAACCTATCACCTTATCCACTGCTTTCGCCAGGGTTTCTGTACCCTCCCACTCCCAACTTCGCCTTCTCTCCGTTGGCCCAATCGGGGATACTGGGGGCTGGACCAGGAGCCGGGCCGCAGCCACCACCGTCTCCCCTCGGGTTCTTGTTCCCGCAATCCCCCTCGGGATTCTTGCCCATTCTGAGCCCCAGATGGAGGGACATGTTGTAGCTGCAAGGAGTGAGCGGTGTTCATCACATCACCATCTTTCCTTGAAACACATAGCAAGGAGGAACATTTCTTCTGCATCAGAAGTAATCTATGAATCTGACCAAAGATCTAACCCAAGTGTCGAAGGAGATGTGGATAGCCATTGGTTGAGCGAATGACTCTGCATATATAGTCAACCTGAGCTTCTCGGAGGGTGAAGGTGTACCAGGAAATGAGGCAGGTGAAATATAGTCTACTTTTGACTTCTCTTGCTTCATGTTTGTATTGACTTACTTTACTACTAATGATCTCATAATCTTATACTTTCATGTTTTCTCAAAGTAGTAATTCTTGTGTGAGACATCAATTCTCATACAAGTGGTTTTAGGGTCTATAGGAGACGAAATATTAAATTTGAACTAGAGATGGTGGTGTCTTTACATTGACTTCTTCTGCATCTATACAACAAAACAAATATTCATTTCTTGCACATAGTTTTCTTGTCTAGAATTGGTATGCCAAAAGCTAATTCTAAACTTATAAAAAGTGAGGACAAAAGGTTGTTTTTTTTTTTTCTCTTGTATTTCTTTAAGGGCAATTTTTTGAGAAAAAAAAAATTTATTTTTGGGTCCATTTTTCATATTTCCTATGGGGTGTTCCCACATTTTAATAATCTTTTTAATTACTCTTGACATGATACAACAATAGTCTCCTTTCCAATTTCTAAGTTATAATGTTTTTGAATAAGCTTGTAGTTTTTTTTTTTCAAAATACTGTAAGTCTATTCGAAAACACTATAAGTAATTTATCAGCATATCAACATAGAATCAAATTCAAAAATACTTAATTGGATACTAACCAACTATCTATAACATTATTGGCATCAATTTTTTGGTTACTCTAATCTTTTGTAGCGTACTCATTCAATCATGTTATTCGTAGCTAATTGGTCGATAAGTTTTATCAAATCAAATAGAAACCTTCTCAATTGAAGGAATTTTTTTCCATGTTAAGCTCAGGTCTTTTGGGTTGTACTATTTTAAGACCTCATCATTAATCTATCGTTTGATGCTTTTGGGAAAAATAAAGAAAACATGGAAACCTCTCTATTTACATATTTGAAGCTTTATATATATACATATATATATGAGTTGATCTTTATTTAGTTTTGAGTCAATTTGTCTTAGTTAAAACATGCTTTTGAATATATTGATTTGTGGAGGTGCCAAAACTATTATAAATCTATTAAAAAATATATATATTGTATATTTAATACATACGCGATCGAACTGATTCATCCTAGACCGATCCATAAAGATATCAGATGAGAAAGAAAAGATGAAAATGCCTTGATATTGTGTTAGGCATAAACGTTCACACGTAGTAATCACACGAACAATAACAAGATCAAGTCATGTCTCCCACCAATTAATTAATGGATGTTGTTAAGATGAGTATAGCTATGCCAAACATTTAATGCTGAACAGACTAATATGCATTTGACAACAGTGGTATAGTTAGGAGTTTGCGAGATTCTAAGGAAAGATCAATTACCTCTCCTTTTTTTCATATTTAAAATAATGAGATTCTAAGGAAAGATCAATTACCTCTCCTTTTTTCATATTTAAAATAATTATTAAGTTTTAAAAGAACAAGACACGAATTCTTTTTTTGTTTTTGTTATTTTCTAATTTCGCTCCAATAAATTACGTGTCCTCTTCGAATTGGGCGACTACGTTTACCACGCCCGACCCAGCCCATCAATATATATACGTATATATATATATTCCAGGGAATGCCCAGCGAGAATCCGCGCCTCCTCTCGTCTCCTCTCCAAAAATCGAACCCAGCGATGGGGAGGAAATCGAAGGATTCGGATCAAGAATCCTCGGCCGTCGTCAAATCACTCTTCTCCGACGATAATCCCTTCCGCCGCAAGCCCCAGCCGGAGTCGCCTCTCCCGACGCCCGAGCTAGGGTTAGGGTTGGCTGGGAAACCGTCCAACCTCGTAGGTGGCGGCGTCGACGATGCACAAGAGGCGAGGAAGAGAAAACGGAGTAAGGGGTCTGGAATTCCTAATCCTAGCTTGACGCCTGCCTCCATTCCCAATAAAAGGAACAAGTACGAGAATGGAGAAGATAGCGGGAGTCCCAAAGAGAACAGAAAGAAGAGGAAGAGGCGCGAGATAGAGGAGGAGTACGAGAAGCGGATATATGATGCGGCGGAGAATGTTCTCGAGGGTGATGGGGTTGAAGGAAGGATTGTTGCAGTCGGGGAGAAGAGGAAAGCGGCTGATGTGGTCTCATCAGACATGGAGGTCTCAAAGGAGGCCTTCGATGACGAAAGCAAGCTTATGAGGACGGTGTTCGTTGGAAATTTACCACTAAAGACCAAGCGAAAATCTCTGCAGAAGGAGTTCCTGAAATTTGGTGAGGTGGAGTCCGTCCGGATAAGATCCGTGCCTATTGTCTACGTGAGTGCGTCAAACTCTGCTCCTAAGATGACCTCTTTACTTTTATGTTTTCCTGATTTTTGTATTGGTTTTTCTTGATCAGAGCAAGACACCCAGGGCGATAGTGCAGGGCAAAATCAATGATGCTGTTGATAGGTTAGTATTTTTTTTGTTATTTTATGATTTATGATGAAACTTCTGCAAATAAGTTCTTCTCGTTAATTTTTTTCATTATGTAACTTCAATTTTGGAAGCCCGAATGTGCCTGAAATTCACCTTTTTTTGAGGGGGAACGAATTCAACAATGTCATCAAACTCTTATATGAAAACATAATCATAACCTTCAACTAATATCTAGTCACATTTATTTGAGGTTTGTCAAATAGATCCTTTTATTGGGAAATAGGCGCCGTTAGTTGGTAACTAATGTTCTATCTACCTCTGGCATATATCAACCCTTTGCATCTCACCGTCGCCCATTTTATAGGCACTTGCAATACGGGTGTGATGTGTTTTTTTTTCCCTCTTAAATCAGGATGATATACTGGGATTTGTAGCCTGCTGATTTTGAAGGACTGGGATTCACAGCCTGCTGATTTTTTTTCTTTTTAATTCTTGCCTCGTGTGCATGCTATGCATGTCATTTTCAGCCTACAGCCAGTTGATTATTCATGCCTAAATTCAGAACAATACTTTGTTACAGCAACAGCAGTCGAAGTGAACGTGGCAAAACCAACCCTAAATTTTATAAGTTCTCTGAGCCTCTTATTATCAGCGTCAATTAATATTGCATTTTGATATGCAAGTGGATTGACTGTATGTTTAGTAATTGATGATTTCTTCTTTTATTACTTATTAGTGGATCTTTTTTAGTCCTGTTTCTCTGCTAATATTTGATAGTTTTAGCCTATGTTTATGCATTTTTTCTTACTTCACCTCGTTCTTACATTGCAGTGTACATGCATACATTGTTTTTAAAGATGAGCAATCAGCAAAGGCTGCACTATCCCATAATATGGCACAGGTGGGCTAGATTCTATTTTTTATTGTTCTTTAAGAGCTGTGTAATTCACTTTGTTGGTCAGCACTGATTTTTGTCTAAGATAACTATACTTGCTCATGTAGTTTGGAGGAAATCACATTCGTGTGGACATGGCATGTCCACCTCGTAAGAAATTGAGAGGAGATGGTCCACTTTACGACAAAAAGAGGACTGTTTTTGTGGGCAACCTACCTTTTGATGTGAAGGTAATATCTATTGTTTTTCTCTGTATTGAAGTTTAGAGAGTTCATGGTTTGGTAGTGAGGGTTGTAAAAAAAAGCTTTATTATACTTTTTGGGGTAATGTTCACTTTTGCTTTCAGGATGAAGAACTCTATCAGTTGTTTTGTGGGGTGAGCGAAATAGAATCTAATGTGGAAGCTATACGAGTTGTTAGAGATCCTCAGACGAGCTTGGGCAAGGGTATTGCATATGTTCTGTTTAAAACACGGGTAAGATTGACTACGATTCTTTTATGATTGACTATTCTTCTTGCCAGTAATTAATCACATATCTATATATTGCCTATTGTTTATGTTTTCATTTTTTGCCTCCTAGCTATTAGTTTCTAATGCTTGTATTTGACATTCACTTCACACTGCTATAAGCACTACAAAGGAAACCTAGTGATTGTGCTTTTAGTTCCTCATCTTTTAGATTCTAGGTCTCCAATCATGTCTTAGGTATGGTGACTGTAGTTTGTTATGGCCTGATACCTCGGACTCTTTTTTGGTTTATCACTCAATGGACCCACTAATTAGTGTACTATAGTCTCTCTTATTATTTCTCTATCTGTCAGTTCTGACCGAGGCCTATATCTCCTAATGCATGTTAAAGTATGACCATGTTCATAGTATCTAAATTTAAATATGAAGCTAGCTTTAGAAAACACTTCATTTAATCGTTTGATTGGTTCCATGGCTCTACATGAAATTAATTTGATTTGTGGCTCACTTTTTTGAAATCCCTAATTTGCTATATGGCCTATGTACATGTGTTTGTAACTGAGTACTGTTCTTGGCAATCTCTGTTGACTCCATTTAGATATTGCTAGGTCAGGGGAAACGGAGGTTTAACACACTGTCATGTGCACCAACATATTATGTGTGGCTTCAGATTGACTTGCTCAAAAATAACAAATTAGGCTTCATTTGACTCTTTTTAAGTAAATCCTCTGACAATTCCTCTCTTATCCTGATTAAAGTCCAGTGAGCCACGTATAATAGTCACAAGGCATTTAGGGCATTATTGTTGATCCTCTCAGTCATGGATGGGGACACTCTAACATGCACCTAACCCGTTAGACTGTGATTTTTGTTTGATCAACCTGTTAGGTTAGCATATATCAGCCTTTGAGCAATTCAGGTGAAATTCTGCATTTTCTTAATTTCTGATTTCAGCTTTAAACAATCCAGATGGAACTCTTCATTCTTCAAAATCTTGGATTACATTATATTTGGCACAGATGTCAGGATAAGAATCATTTGATAAAGCTATATGCCAGTTGTCCTAACGATTCAGTCAACCAAGGTACTAATTTGGTATCACCTCAAGTTCTGCCCCTTAACCTGAGTTGAATGCACTGTGACATCTTTCATTAGTCTATTTAGTAGATATCAACTCTTAACTATCTTTATTTCTAATTGTCTTCGTTCTCCAAATCTATCATACATGGGTCTGCTTGAACAAAGTCAGCTTCTGAAGGCTGTGCTTGTTATATGAACACATAAATCAAGGCACAATCTAGTTAGAAGATGTAAGGGTGTTAAGATTTCATGTCCCATCATCGTCTTCTTTGAAAACTAGCATAACACTAATTATTTGACATATTCTGTTGAGTATACCCTTTTTGTTGATCAGCTTTAAGCAACTGAAGGATACAAGATGGTTTTTCTGAATCTACTTGTTGTGGGTCTTTTGAGAACTACAATCATGTATTTAATTGCTTCCCTTATATAGCAATACCACTAGTTGTATCCTCGACCATGTTTATTTTCTTTGTTGTTACAAGTGAAAGGCCACCAAATGATCTTCACTTAATCATCAATGTTCCTCGACTTTAAGCATTTAGTGTTTATTCTACAAACATTATTTTCATTAATTTCTTCACATTGTTGAATAATAGAAAAACTTCTATCCTTATGAATACTTCATTAAATAATTTCTTCATTTTTTTGTTAATCTTCTAATCTTTAACAAGTATCTTTTTACCTTCACCCTCTGTATGCTTAATTGTTACATAGGCTTTTGTTCTTTCTTTCTCTGGTTTCGGCAATATGAGAAATATCTTTTTCTGCATCATTATTACCATTATAACTGTCATAAGCTTTGTATTTATGTCTTGGAATATGAATATTATGTATGGTAAATTATATGTAGAAACATTTATTGTACATATTTAATTAGCTATAGTCTCCTGGAGCATACTTGTGTAGCTGCTTCTTAGAGTTAGAACCAAAAATATAATTATCCGCCATATGTTTGAACATTTTAAGCACAAAACCAGAGATGGTATGCTTTCTATAATCGTCGCTTCAAGATTAAGAAACAAAAAAGGTTTGAGGCCTATATAGAGACACACCACATTATCATTTAATTGTGTTGTGAGCCAGCCACGGAAGAGCATGGAAAATAATAAAAAGAAGAAAACAACTGGACACATACATGTTTGTGTCCAAAGTGGTAGGTGATGTCAGTTGTACGAACATGTTTCTTACAGGAGTCTTGCACATTTTGCCTGCAGGATGCTGCCACTTCTGTTGCTAAGAGAAGGGACTTAAAGGTTAGAGATCGTATGCTTAGAGTTTGCCATGCAAAGTCTGCGGATGCTACACCATCAAAGAGTTCGAGTGTCGGACCAAAGAGGCAATTCCCGGGGAAGACGCATGGTGTGGCGAATGGTGGGACATCGTCAGCAGGTGAAAATGACAAATCCAAGGTGAAGGCTGCTTCTCTGTCATACCAAGGAGTGAGATCAAGCAAATCTGGTGTGATGAAGAAGTCAAACTTGCGGCCACAAGTCAGTAACCAAGGGAACAACAAGAGGGGTGGAGGTTCAGATCAGATGGCTCCTAAAGCTAAACGGCCTGCGGTTGCTGCCAGGAAAGCAAAGCAACTTCTGAAGAAACGCAAACTGGAGGCTGGTACACCACTGAATACCCACGTCAACAAGAAAGCAAGAAAGGATTGAAGTCCGCAATTTGATCGACTCGTTGTAATATTTAATTGTGCACTAGATTGTTTGTTGGTTGCTGACCTGACAAAGTGCACGAAGATGAAGAAAGTCTCTTCCTAGTTCTTGTAATGTTGGCTGTGCACGACTCTAACAAACTTTTTTGTGGTAACTGGCACGCCTCCATAAACTCATCTTGCATGCTGAAGGTGTGTTTTCAGTTCTATCGCCAACCGGAATTCTATTTGTTCTCGCAGAATTTGATTTAAAAAAAAAGTAATTAGAAATTTTTATTACATTAATTTTCAGTAATTTTGTCTGTAATTTTACACTGAAACATGGATTCCAACCTAACAATGTTCTCGGTTCTGTGTTTCAAGCTCACATGATATTTTCGTAAGACATAGCGCATCGTACCCTCGCCGCCCGCATTTAAGACCCCAACAAGGTGGTGGTCGAGGAGAGGTATCAAATGTTCCTGGCAGAATTAAATGGCAAAGCTCCAAATCCCACTATTTCCACCAAAACCAATATTTATCGAGATATGTCAGACACTGATGCAATGCCCATCTGCTCAACCCATACATATAGCGTAGCAAATACGACACCTGTGACCCGCTTAGGGATATGCTAAGAAAAACAAAGGATACATTTAACATGAAAACTAAATTATGCTTATCTATGAAAAATAAACCCACCAAAATAAAAATATAAACGAAGCATTTACAATGAACTGGAAATCCAAAAACACAAATCAGGTCTACGCATATTTACATATATTGTATCCTCCCTCCCCAGAATCAGCAGCAAATAATCATGACTGACGACCTCCATTTTGGAAATTCCAGTCCGGAAATCTGCTGCAAGACTTGGAGGGAACAGTTGTGATGATCACACAAACAATGCCAGCTTCATTTTCTTTCCTATGCATCATTTACAGTTTGACTTTTGTTTATCAACGTGGGTGTCACCGAAACAATCCCTATAAAGAATAGTGTTGCTATTGCTTGGAAATCATATAGGTCGGCCACAGATCTTAATTCTCCAAGGGCAATTCCAGCCTGACATACAACGAAAGGCCAATCAACATCACATGAAACGCATATGCGAAAAGCTACACAGTCAAAATTGTAATGAAACATCATACAAGAGGATTTTATAGCCATTAAAGAAATAAGTTAAAACCTCTCAACAAAACAAAAAAGAAAAAAAAGTCAGCTACTTGAGCAAACTAGTTAAGAGGCAGAGGAATGGTACCCTGACTGTGACATAAGCAGCTGGGATGAGCCCAATGATCGTTGCCAGGAAGAATATGTGGTATGGCACATCTACTATTGGTGAAGCAACATTGATAAAAGTATTTGGCAGTGTAGGGGTGACTCTGAGGAAAAGCATGTAATTCAACAGCTTCTCTCTTCTTTTAGCCACCTGAAACGAGATACGCAACTGCTATATTAACGAGACATGGATGCAGAAAATTCATTGGATGCAAAATGTACAAACTGGTCAATAGACCGAAATGGCTGCGTCAATTGAAATTACTACATCTCAGTCACTAAAAACGACTACAATTAGATATACATAATGTGAAGAAAGTATCGAAACTACTGGAAACACATCTATCAGCCAAAACAGGCTCTTGATTCATCTACAACTTAAGCCCTACATCTTCATAATATGTTCCATTGAACCAGTGTTAAGAAAAGGCCAAGTTTTCACCTGTTCTTGGAAAAAACTGAGTTTGTCTGGCCACAACGAGAACACCAGGGGTCTTCCTATCAGATATGACAAGAAATAACATGAAGATGCACCAGCTGTGGCAGCAAAGACGACTAAAGCTACGCCTCGCAGAACTCCGAAAAGGGCTCCGGCCAGAAGGGACATAAAAATGGTCCCTGGAATCATAAAAGTCTGCATAAAAATGTAGACTGTGCAGTAGCCCACCAAAACCTGTATGGTGTAGTCACTTGTGTAACTCTCAAGATTATCCCTGCACACACAGGTTCCAATAACAGGATCAGAAAGACTCGCACAGAACACAACTGTTGACAGTGGTTTTCATCGAGGCACAATTATGTGCAAAGGTGTTAAGTAACATACGTTAATTACGGAAAATACTGGAAGATAATTCAAGATAAAGCAGAAATAAAAAATTATTTCCATATGAAGAAAAGAAAACCTATTTTATTTGTTTTCATTCACCATGACTGATTCTAACAGAGGAAATCTCGAAACATATTCACGATGTACAACAAGTTCTATCCAGAAGCAACCCCTAACAAGAACCCAAGCTAAAACATAGAATAACAAAATCGAAGGATTCCAAATTTCGTTACTTTCATACACTTTAATACACACGCAGATCTTCATTGAATAGAACTAAAGTTTGACACCTACAACTGCAGAAAGAGGGGAAAGATCACCTCAGATCCTGGATGTCCTCGACCGAGCGGGGCAATTTGAGGAAACTATAGTCGGAGGACGGCATCGAAAGATACACGGCTACCAAGACCAATCCGAAGCTCGCCACCACACCGGCCGCCGCCGCCGCCTCCCATCTCGACAACGAGTACTTGGAATCTCTCCCCATCGTCCTCTCTTACGAACGAACGAATCAGCGGGGCGAGAGAGAGGATCTGACTGGGGAGAAGAGAGGCAGAGGGGAGGAGAATCGAATCACAACGAAGAAGCCCTAAATTTTCTCCCCTCTGCTTCTCTCCTCTCTTATCGGACTCGTAATGACGAGCGGTAGGTATCATTGTGGCCGGTGAAGAGTCTGTTGCTCCGCAGGAACACCTGTTGCAGCCGCAAGCTGTGCGAATATTCGCTTCCAGCCGATCCATGGTCGCCACGTGTACGGCCGAAATATCATGCGGTTGATGATTTAAACGGAATCCGAAACCTCACCCCTGCCGAAAGATCTCATACGCTCGAATCTCATCCGTCGGTCGGGATTAAGTGCATACCAGGATAAGATTTCCACCGCGGAGATCACCGTGTCGTTTCCAACGTGTTCCACCGCTTTTTTGAGAACGGGTGGTCCCGAGTCTGCCGTGGCTTCCACTCCACACACGTGGATTTATTCCTACATTAATGATTATATAATCTTTGATGCTTCATCGGGTTCGATTTAAATATATCAAATCCTCGTCGAGAAAAAACACACACTATCAACTTTGTTGTTGCCATTTGATTGCTCTTTTTATTTTTTTTTGTTTTCCTTGTATTAGTAGACGATAAAACTATGAGCCGCTAACCAAAAAGAAGACAGAGAGAGAAACCTAACGTTCGAATTATTGAGTTGGCATTAGTAAGTATTTTTCCTCAGTGATGTGACTTGCTCACTCAGATCAATTGTGCTTGCTATAATCGAATTCAAAGTCAACATAACAATGATGGCAGCCGTCATAGTTAACCACAAATCTCATCCTATTAATATCAAATTCGACTGGTTAGATGTCCAAATCCATCCCGATCCGATCGGGCTTTGTATTCATGATTCTAAATCTGATGATACGTGTGTAGGAAAACAAGACTTGATTCATAGTCAATCCAGAAATGATACAAATAAGATCATCGTGGATCCTTTTGTTCTTATATTTGTTTCAAATTTGATTATCCAATATTGTAGTCTGACTTCAATAAGTCAGACAGATACGAGTCTGCTAAAGCACATGATAACTGTGACAGCACAACTTGTTTTCCGGCACGCGAGAGTGGAGGGTGGCGTGTTGGATCAGTGGCACTGTCAGATAGAGATATGATGGACAGACCAGCAGACATTCATCATCCACAAAATGATGGATGGATTGCGATTCTGACACGCAACAGCCGAAGGGTACTCGTAAACAGCGAGAAGAAAGCTGCGCCATTTCACTCTGTGATCCAAGAGAATAAGAAGATAAACTCCTGCAGAGTACACATCTTTTTGGCAACCAAGTTTTTGCTGGTTCCTCTGAATCAATTCATGTCTAAAGAGATTATTCTTTTGCGGCCCGGCCCACTTGATTCGCGTCTCTTGCTGCATGTTGCTTACTCTCTCTAATGTTTTAATGTGGCCGAATGATACTGAGGGAAGACAAATATTGCATCTTCATCTGATCGTGTGATGTCACCAGAAGCATTTCTGTTGGAGACGATCTCGCGACACAGCATAGGCAGATGGCGATAAGAACGTGGTTAATCTTCTTTTGACTGACAAGAATGTGAGTCACCGATTCACAATGAACATCAGCAGAGATTGGCCAGGGGAAACTCCTGCTTATGACATCACATGTTCTACCAGTAACATTTGTCTTCCACACGGCAGGAAGGTAAGCACCTTTGACAAGGCGTGTAGTAATCTTCAGACAAAAACTGTAGGGATTCTCAAACCTGCATAATCTACATGATGTCAGCTTCAGATAGGTTGATTGTTTACGGCTAACAAGAAGCAGACAAAAAAGCTCATTCTAGTGCAAAATGCTTTGTTGAACAGAGGTAGCATCGGGGCCTGCACCCCTTTCTGGAAAAGATCTCCACCATTTCTGGAGTTCTTAAGCAAACCTAGCCTTGACTCCAAGATTGAAAGCGAGAAAAGCATATCACCAGACATCAGCTTGAAGGAGCATCCAAGGATGAACTTTGAAAACCCTCATGAGCAATATAACAACTTGTTCGTAAGGAAATGAACAAGAGGAAAGGGAACTAGTCTTGACTATTGTTGCAGAATAATCAGCTTAGACTTCATTGCACCCAGTGGAGCAGTTGAATGAAGCATCATTAAGTGCAGGTAACTTAATTAGTTGCTTCCTGTAGGTCCAGGGCTCACACCTACTGCACATTATGCTATGACTTGCATGGGAAGGTTAGCTTGTCTGAGAATACATTTTCTGATCTGGCGGAAAGCTTTGAGAAAGAGAAGTTTATGTGGAATTCTAAGCTTGCCCAGAAATCTATCACTACCGTAAAATGACAATTTGTTTAATCCCTCCTCAACCAAACCAAAACACAAAAAACAAAAAAAAAAAGAAAAAGAAAAATGAAACATGAATTATCTTGAATAATTAAGATACAAATTGTTTAGTCACAAGTATTCGATTAAAGAGTTTTTGACAGCGGAAACCGAGCGAGAGTCATTTGCTTCTAAATCCCCCATCCAGTGGTGACAAACCAAATAAGATAGCTGTAGAGTTTAGTTACAGTTACTATGGTCATCAATCCATTGGATGTCTTGTTGGATTGAGGCTTTAGTAG